TAGTGCCATTTCTGGGTTGTAGAGTAGTTCTCTTTTTAATGTATTGAGGAACCTCCATACTGTTTTCCAGAGTGGCTGCACCAGTTTGCATTCCCATCATCAGTGCAAAAGAAAGCCTCTTTCTCTGGATGCTGGCCAACATCTGTTATTGCCTGAGTTGTTAATTTTAGCCATTCTGACAGGTCTGAGGTGGTATCTCATTGTGGTTTTGATTTGTATTTCCCTGATGATGAGTGATGTTGAGCATCTTTTAATGTATCTGTTAGTGATCTGGGTGTCTTCTTTGGAAAAGTCTATTCATGTCCTTCAGCCTCTTCTTCACTGAATCAGAAATGCTTATTAATGGCTGCTATTAGGTGAAAGGCTGATGGTGAAGTTTATAACAAATGGATTAGGCTGATACTAACCTGAATTCAACCATCAATCTCAATATCATTATAAGTGGGACAGTCAGACCTAGACCTAAGGGCAATCATGATGTGGTGCAATATGAAGTATACCACACATCTATGAAGAATCCTTAACAAAAAAGTTATTTAACTTAAACACATTCAAGACTTTGTCTAATTTTCAGTGTCCCCAAAATAAATAAACAACAAATAAGTAGAGATAATATTACAAAGAAACAATCAACCAAATCCAGAGCTAGAATAAATAAACTGTAGGACAAGCAACCTGCTTTTCCAATAAATAAATGGCACGGGGAGGGCAGAGTGGGAGGAGATAAGAAAGAACTTTCATAAATTAAGAGAGAATCAAGAGACAGTACAACAAAAATGCAATGCACCGATGCTGTTTGGATTCTGATCCAAACAAACCAATAGTAAAAAGATATTTTTTAAGCAATCAGGAAATTTTCTTTTAGGTGTGGTGAGGAGGCTATGTTTAAAACAAATGGACCTTATCTGTTAGAGATACATAGTGAACAACTTGCAGATGAAATGATATGAAACCAGAGATTTGCTTTAAAATATTCCACCAAAATCGGGGCACCTGGGTGGCTCAGTCGATTAAGTATCCGACTTCGGCTCAGGTCATGATCTCACAGTTCGTGAGTTTGAGCCCCGCCTAGGGCTCTGTGCTGACAGCGCAGAGCCTGGAGCCTGCTTCAGATTCTGTCTCCGTCTCTCTCTGAACTTCCCCAACTTGCGCTGTTTCTCTTTGTCTCTCAAAAATGAATAAACATGAAAAAAAGGTTTTTTTAATAAATAAAATATTCCACCAAAATAAAGTGGAAAGATAGATGAAACAAGAATGGAAAATTCTTGTGATAATTGTCAAAGGTAGGTTGTACATACATAGATTCAGTACACTATTTTCTCTACTTTTGTGCTTATTTGAAAGTTTTCATAATAAAATTGTTTTCTTTTTTTAAGTTTTTTTAATGTTTATTTATTTTTGAGAGAGAGAGAGAGACAGCATGAGCAGGGAAGGGGCAGAGAGAGAGGGAGACACAGAATTTGAAGCAGGTCCCAGGCTCTGAGCTGTCAGCACAGAGCCCCACACAGGCCTCAAACTCACAGACTGTGAGATCATGACCTGAGCTGAACTGAATTCATATGCTTAACTGACTGAGCTACCAGGTGCCCCTATAATAAAATTGTTTTCAAATAATGAAAATAGCAACAAGTCTGGACAAGTCACAGCTAAAGTCCCTCTAACCTTCAAACCACAGATAATTCCTATGTTTACCAAACTATTCCAGAGTACATAAAAATATGAAACTCCTTACAATAGTTTTACAAATCCAACATAGTCATACAAAGATAAAAAGCAGAACAATAGAATAATTTCATTTATACAGGTTCAAAAATTTTAAATAACATGCTAATAAATCGAGTTCAGCAAGGCAATTTTTAAAAATTTGACATAAACAAATGAAAAGATTTTCTCAATAGTGTATCATCAAATGTCACATTTTCTAAAATTTCCTAAAATTATTTTGTAAATTTAATTCCATATAATTTTTTTCTTTTATTTGGATCCTAAAATTTGTAATGAGGCATAAATATAAGGTAAAAGAGAAGAAAAGCATTAAAAGACAGAGAAAAGGAACAATAGTATGGGAAAACTTGCCTACTTAATATTGATACGCATGATAAAGCTAATATAAAATTAAATCCAAGGGAACCTGGATGGTTGGTTAAACATTGAGCCACCCAGGCGCCCCTCAAAAATGTTTTTAAAAATAAAGAAATGAACAAAAAATAGATACCATATAAATGAAAATTTAATACATAACAAAGATGATAATTCAAATCACTGAGGAAAGGCTGAATTATTTAATAGTGTTGGTGCAACTGGGGAGAAACTCAAATGAATCCTATATTTAATAATATTTTAGAAAATGAATTCTGGTTGGAGTAAAGACATAGTTGTAAATGAAAAAATACTGTTAGAAAATGTCAGAGTTTGGGGCGCCTGGGTGGCTTAGTCGGTTAAGCGTCCGACTTTCGCTTAGGTCGTGATCTCGCGGTTCGTGGGTTCGAGCCCCGCGTCGGGCTCTGTGCTGACTGCCAGCTCAGAGCCTGGAGCCTGTTTCGGTCTGTGACTCCCTCTCTCTCTGACCCTCTCCTGCTCACGCTGTCTCTCTCTCTCTCTCCTAGAAATAAATAAAACATTACAAAAAAAAAAAAAAAAAGAAAATGTCAGAGTTTACATGAGCCATCAAAGTGCCTGAGGGACTTTGATCAAGCCTGAAAACCCAAAAACAGCAAGAGAAAAGGTAAACCTACCAAATTTAAAAACTTCTTTAGCAAGAAGATAGTATGAATAAATGAAAACACAATAAATTTGGAAAGATTTGTAGAACATCATAAATCCAAATTACCAACAAAGTGTTCTGATTCATTGATAGTCAGTGAAATGCAAATTGAAGTAACAACAATACATCATGTTTTGCTCACACGACTGGCAAACATTAAAAGAATCAATAGTGTCGCTTGCTTGTGGAAATTAATTTCATCCATTGTTGGAGAAACATGAATTTCACACTTTGGAAAACAATCAAGTAACATCTATCTTATCAAGTTGTCTCAGAAAAAAAAATTAAGTAGTGGGATTCAGTGAGTAGGAAGCTACTGAACTTACTTCATGAATAATATATAACATTAATACCTAAACTTAATAAGAACAGAAACTTAAAAGTTTCCTATTGCTGCTGTAATAAATGACCATAAACTCAGTAGCTCAGAACAACCAGATCTATTATCTAATGGTTCCAGAGGTCCCACATCTGCAATGAGTCTCATGGACTAAGTCAAGGTGTTGGCAGAGGCTATGTTCTTTCTGGAGGCTCTAGAGGGGAGTCCGTGGTACGGTGTCGTAAACTGAGGAGTATGACCAGTTCAGTTCAGTATACACGGTGTCACACAAATGTAAATACCTCATTCTTTGTCAGAGCAATCCCACTGCCAGTAATTTTTTTAAACAGAAACAAATGTATTATTGTAGAAGGATATATGAACAAGGATGTTTATTGAATCATTTTTTTTTGTAATAGCAAAAGTTAGGGCTTGTACATTCATCAACAGAATTCTCAAACAAATTACAGTCTGTCCATATACTGGAATATTATGCAACTATTGAGAAAATCAGTTAGAATTATATATACTGACCTGCAAATATTGTGCATGAAATATTAAGTGAAAAATGCAAATTGTAAAGTAATGAACATTATCCCATTTATTGTTAAAAATACACATGTAAATAAGGGGAAGAACAAAACTCCAACATATGAATATTTCTGTATCATTGTCTAGTAGGAGGAGAGAGATCATATCAGTTTTATGAAAGAGAGAAAGCTAAATATAAAATAACAATGAACTAGGTATCAATCTCTTAACCCTAACTGAAAGGGAACTTGCACATCTCTAAGTGAGGGGCTATTTGATGTATCTGGTTCTGCAATTGTTGAAAAAAACTGCAAGACTTATTCAGCCACTGCCAAGGGCCAAGGTTGCAGCTGCAGGAGGGAAGAAGCACTCCTGGATGATGGGCATCTATTAGCAAGTTGGAAACAAATGAGGATCCTAACAGAAAACCAGAAAGCTGAGTTACAGTCCTGCAGTCACAAGGCAGGGAGGAGGATGGGGCTAAGAGACAAGGGCTTACTAACACCATGTGTTTACACATAATTGTGTGGCTATGAAAAAAAACTTGGAATGATCCAAATCAACTAGTTACCTCAGAGGTAAGAAGGGCCTGAGAACTTTCAAAAAGGAAAATAATAAAAACTCCCATGCAGCGTTTGATGGATTACAGTGTGTGTGTACTATTTATGTAATAATTTTTAAAACCCACATAACTAATGAAGCATAAAAATAAAAAGTTAAAATTAGAGGTAGAAATATCCGGGATGCCTGGGTGGCTAAGTCGGTTGAATGTCTGACTTCAGCTCAGGTCATGATCTCATCATTCATGGGTATGAGCCCCGCGGTGGGCTCTGTGCTAACAGCTGGGAGCCTGGAGCCTACTTTGGATTCTGTTCTGTGTCTCCCTCTCTCTCTGTCCTTTCCCCAGTGATGTTTTGTCTCTGTTTCTCTCAAATATAAATAAACATTAAAACAAGTTTTTTTAGGGGTGTCTGGGTGGCTCACTGTTTGAACTGAACTGACTTCAGTTCAAGTCTTGATTTTCACGGTGCATGGTTTGGAGCCTCTCAACAGCTCAGAGCCTGGCTCCTGCTTCGGAGTCTGTGTCTCCCTCTCTCTTCCCCTGACCCACTCACTCTCTCTCTCTCTCACTCAAAAATAAATAATATTTAAAAATAAGTAACAAATAAATACTTTTTTTTAAAGTAGAAATATTCACTCTGAGGTCTGAGGTGTGCCCTGGTGAGAGAATAGCTCTTTCACTGTGTAGTAGTGGATGCCTGAGCTGTAGTGCCCTTAGATCTGACAGGTAGTTGTTCAGGGGACCAGTGTGCACTGTTAAATATACAGCTAAATATATGTATTGGTCTTTAATTTTTTTTTTAATTTTATTTATTTATTTTTTTACAACATACAGTCCCCTTCAGTGCTCATAGCCCACCAGTGAGGAGGCTGGGCAATGGTTCAGGGCTGCATGCTTCTCTGGCACAGGTGCACTCTGGGAGGCCCACAGACAAGGCCCACTGTCAACCCATCACCATGTGCTTGCTTTGGCTTCTTAAACCATTTAGACAATTTTGACAGCTTCATGATGTTTGTTGAATCTGGATAATGGGCAAATGGTGGTTCATTTTATTGTTCACTTTACTTTTCTGTAGATTGATGTTTTCTCACAATAAATACTGGGGGAAAATACTCTGATATAATCACAATTTAGTTTACAACGACAGGCATGGAAAAGAAGAAAGTAGATGTATTTTTCCTAACTCTAAGAGGATCTGATACTCCCTTTATGTTCATTTGAATTAATTATGGAAAGGTTAGTTACAATGTTGATGAAGAAATCCAAACTGAACTTCCTGTAACAAACAATAAAGAAATAAAATTTCTCAAACAAGTAAAACAAGCATCATCATCTCAAAATTAAGGGTAATATAAAACAGTAAACCGTTGTAGTTAAAAATCAAGATGTAACTGTTGAACTTCTTAAATGCATACTAGCCAGGAATTGATTTCATCATGATAAGAAACATAATCTGTCAAGAAAGGACCTTTACCCTAACCTGGCTAATGTTCACATTTTTAGTGTGCTCAGCACATCTGATTGGTTAATGGAGTCCATCTTTGATCTTTATCTCTGTAGCAAGTTCCAATGGCCAGCTCAGAGTTTTGAAATCGTAAAATGTCTGTGTCAACATCTCATGCGCCCAAGATTCCTATTATTGATACATATGGCACCTCTATTACAATCCAGAATTCAGTTTGATCAAGGCTGAATCAGAGAGATTTGGGCTTATATAAATTTTCTATTTTTTCTGCTCTAGGTCAGTAACTTTGAGAACCCAAGAGTGGGGAAGGCTTGGAAGAGATTAATACTATGTGAAGGCAGTTGCTCTCTCTTAAGTATTCCACACAGCCCCTGCAGGATTGTCAGGAGGCTGGAGGCAGTGGGGTTTAGTGTCAATAATATGTGTGCCAGCATTCTCAAACTCCAGAGCCATCTCCACTTGGGTATGGAAGGCAGACTTTTTTGCCTGTGAAATTCCCAGGGCTTTCAGCCAATGCAGGGATGTGGAGTCTTCAAGAAGGAAGTACTGAAGTTACTGCTGAAAAGGCTTATGGACTGTGGGCTCAGCAGTGCCCTGATGTCCCAACAATCTGGAGCATCTCCAGTGGAATACATTTTTCAAGTGCAGTCAAGGTCTTCTGAAGTTAAGGAGAGGTCTGTAGATTAGGAATATGGTAAAAGTTTGAAATAGTTTCTGTGAGGAATAGGAGAAACATCTGACAAAGCATTTACTCAAGGACTTTTGGGCTGGGAGGAAGAATAAGCTGAGGATAGAGAACCTTATTGCCTGATTCTCTCAGCAACTTGCATTCAAAGGCTGAGAGGGCTGAGGGATGAACACTGAGGGATGATGGGAGGCAAAGGGTCAAAGGTGGTGAGATTACTGATGAGGCTGTGATTGAACTGATATAACCCAGGGATAGGCTGAGTTAAAAAAGGAGAGAAGACAGAAGGGAAGGAAAGTTAGTGGGAAACACAGGAGATGGTCTCTGAGCGATTGACTAGATCAAATGTGAAGTGAAGGAGTAAGATGTGGGAGAGTTAGAAGGTTGTAGTCAGTGAGCAATTTACTGGAATTCAGTATATCATAGGTGGAGCACATAGATGTGCAAAGATCCCCAGGTGTGCCAATGGGAGGAGGTAGTTGTTATGGAATAAAGGTCATTGTATATATCAAGCTAGAGTGTTGGATGACTAATAAATCCATATGGCTCTTAACATTGATGACAGGAAAGTAAAAGACCGGCATGAATTTAGGAGAATATCGAAATACTGATAGTTGACAGACAGCTTTCATTTGGGAGTATGCTTCCCAGCCCCTACTCTCTATCTGTTGCATTCTGGCATCCTGTTTCCCTGTTCTCTGAGTATCCCCCACCACACTTATACCCCTACACCCCACTTCATTCACAAAAAAATATCTTACCCCTAGAGTCCACTTACTTGTCACTGTAAATTAGGAAAGAGCAATAGAATAGTCCTGAACACAAATCTCTCATTAATTCAAAAGAGAAAGAAGTATAAAATGATGATAATTTATAAGGAAGATGAATGGTTTATCATAATGAGTCAAGAAATCAGGACATTTATTGCAGGTTTACTTTGTGCTTAGCTTAGAGTTTAAGTGCATGGGCTTTGCTGTTCAGCAGTCCAAAGACCAAATCTGCTACTTAATAGCTGCATGAGCAAGGCAAAAATTACTTTATCTCATAAAACTTCAGATTGTTGTCTTAAAATTAAGATAATACTTCCTACTGCATAGAATTGCTATGAAGATTAAAAGTAGAACTTTCTTTGTAAAGTAGAAAGTTCTTAAAACAACCAGCGCTCAATTCCGACTAGCTATTGTTACCATTCTTCTCCTTCCTTCATCCTGAAGCATTTTTCTGACAGGCTCTTCTTTACCCATCCTAGAATGAAGAGAAATCCATTCACATCTAGTGCTTGCCAGGGAATTTGATGGATCCAGCTTATGCTAACCCAGGGTCATGTGCTTCTCTTCCTAGCTTGTGGTTCAGTGACATTGACAGCTGAGATCCGTTATAGTTGGAATGTTCAAACCATGGAAAGTGGCAAAAACTTACAAAATGGAAGGGGAGTTGATGGTAGTGGTGGGATAGTCAGAGTCTGTTTACCAGCACACTACTGCCCTTGGGTTTTACCTTGCATGTTCCCTTCTCAGATCTGTGGCCTATCTGCTGGGCAGCTGCTAGCGCTTTCTCAGCCTCTTGCAAGTTTTTATCGAGTGAGACTCTGCTGGCCAGAGATGGTATCTTTTCCTACCCTCACTGTCTCTAACCCCTTTTATTGGTGGGATTTGTGAAACATTACAATTGCTAGACCCTCTATTTTCACCGCTCTTTCTGTCTTGGTGTTTCTGCAGTGTTTACCCAGAAGACTATAGCACCTTCAGTATTACCCCACTTCCTGCCTAGTTTTTATCATGGAGTTTGAATGTTTGTAGGAAGAGAAGATTCTGGCTTCCTCAAACCCTGTGGCAGGAAGTTGGCCATCTAAGGTTTCTCATTGCAACAGTCTTTTATTTCTTCATTCAGGACAGCAGGAAGGGCTTTGCAACCTGACTTCTGGCCCACGAGTGCTGCTGTTTTCCCCAGTGGCATAGAAAAAGAGAGCAATCGATTAAACTTTTCCAGTTTCTATCTGACTTAGTGGAGTTTTCCCCTTGCTTCTTTTGCCTATAGGTTAATTATCAGTTTTGTGCTTTGATCTTGGTAGTCGTCATCTTTCTTTTTAATTATTTCATTTGGAAGCCGAAAAAGTTTATGCCAGGATTTGCTAGTTGAATCCCATTTTATATTGGAAATTGTCCTAAGAGAAACTCAGTTTTACTTACAAACTTTATTTTTGTTGTATTCCTTTTCATGCCCTATTTGTTATTAAATAGAATTATTTTCTGTTATGTTTCCTTGAAGAAAGTACAGATGGTAGGAACAGAATCCAATTTAACATAGAGTTTCTAGGAATTTATTGGAATGTAAAATAGTGCTCTGGAAAAAAGGATTCCTCCAATATGCACAAATTAATTAATAGAATGGTGAACACTGCCTGGAAGAAGAGCTGAGAGTCAGGAAATACTCAGATATATTATAATTATATTTTCAAAAATTACTTTCTGGGGCACCTGGGTGGCTCAGTCAGTTAAGTATCCAGCTTTGGCTCAGGTCATGATCTCACAGTTCATGGGTTTGAGCCCTATGTTAGGGCTCTGTGCTGACAGCTCAGATTCAGCATCTCCCTCTCTCTGCCCCTCTCCTGCTTGCACTCTTTCTCTCAAACACACACACACACACACACACACACACACAACCTAAATAAACATTTAAAAATTACCTTTTTAATCAGAATAGATAAAATCTATTTTTTCTTTTAAAATTTTATTAATTAATTAATTTATTTATTTGAGAGAGAGATAGCACACATGAGTAGGGGAAGGGGCAGAGAGAGAGAGAGAGAGACAAGAGAGAGTGAGAAAATCCCAAGCAAGCTCTGCACCTTACACATGGCTCAATCTCACAAACCTGGGAGATCATGACCTAAGCTGAAATCAAGAGTCTGACACTTAACCAACTGAGCCACCAAGTACCCTGATAAAATCTATTTCCAAATTGAAATTTCACACCCCTCTCTCTTAAAAAACTAATAGATTTAGGTAAGACAAAATCAAGTATTTATTGAATACCTTCCACCAAAATAATTTCTGGCAGAGAAAAAAATTAATCAAAAGCTATGCCATAAACTCAAGTCATGATCTCACAGTGTATGACTTTGAGCCCCACATCAGTCTCTGCACTGACAGTGAAGAGCCTGCTTGGGATTCTCTCTCTTTTCCTCTCCTTCATGCCTCTCCCTGCTCACTCACTCTCTCTCAAAATAAATAAATAAACTTAAAAAAAAAAAAAGCTATGCCATAAGGACCTGTATTTTAGGAACACCTTTAGGAATGAATGTTATACAGTTGATAGCGAACTTTTTCCTCAGTAAGAACTGGTGACTATAATAGTGAATAGAGATGGTAGCCTTATTTAAATGTTGGTCTTGTGTTATAAATTTCCGGGAACTGTGTGTAGGTACTGGGGAACAACAGGAGTGAGATTCTCCCTGAATTTCTCAGGAATAGGCAGTCTAGGAAGATAGCTTATGTCAGTTTAATTTGCTTTATCTTTGCGCTGCCAGGTTGTGATTAGCTGTCATGAAGAGTAACCTCTCTCCTGGAAGTGAGTCACGGAGTTCTATTGTTCCTGTAGGAGTAACACCTTCTCTTGGATAGGGGAGAGCCAAGTGAGTGTGAATGCTAGCCTTTGTTAAACAAATCAGAATCCTTTTATATGGCAGTAGGCGCCAGCTTGGGTTCCTCAGGAGTGTGGCAAGCCAAAGCAAACTCATTTTCTTCCTTACAAGAGATTGGTAGAAGAGAGGGAAGCTATTGATAGTTATTTTTTGTTTAATGAAACATA